CCTCACATGAATGACGACCCAGAACGGTTTGAATGTTTGAAATACCATGTGATGATTGAGATTGTTGAAGGCAGCCATTGCCATTCATCAAAATTGTTTGATATAAGGGAAGTTCCTTGGACTTGGACTCATTCTGTGACTGACCCAGCCAAGCTCGCCTTGAGAACCCTGGTCAATTCCCTGGAATATTGGGCGACTTCCAACAGATTGTTCAACTCAAAGTTGTCCATTGAATTCTGATTCAAAGAACAGCTTGGGTTATGAAAGAAAGCTAGAATGAGACCCTGAGAAAGACATTGATGGACATAATTTTGTTTGAAATAATTTTTTGGATATAATTTTCCTTGAAGTTTGATTTCTTAAAAAAAAATATATTTTTCCTTGAAGTTTTATTTTCTTAAAAAAAAAAATATATATCTTTTTGGAATAATTTTTTGAACAAAAATCACTCCTACATGAGCTTATGAATGCCTACAATATGATTATTGTAGATGAATTTTTAAAATTGAACTCTAAATACATATTTCTCAAAAAGAAAAAAAAAAAACAACACCAAACTAGACTGGCTCAAATTAACTCACCAGAACAAAGACGTGTGGAAAAAGCTCAATTATTGAGGTGTATTCTTGCTAGGAAATTAAATCAAATCATTGTGACTTTCAAGTTGGTGCACTATAATTTTTGACCAAAGAAGTAAAAGGTCTCTAGGAAATAGATTCAAATCAGAAAATTAAATCAAATCATTGTCAATTTTAAGTGGTGCCTGTTTTCGAATTGTATAATCATCTTTGACCAAGTCTTATAAAAATGTAAAAGGTTTATAATAAATAGTCAAATTGTAACAGGGGATTTGTAATGGGTAGCATATAAGTTTTCTATAGTTAACAAAATAGCATGTCTTTTTGATATTGTCAGATATAGCGTTTTTTTGAAAATCCTGAATTTAAAATTTTCAATATTCCCAAATTACCCTTTTCAGTTATCGCTTCGTTATTATATATCAAACATATATCACATATATATCAAGAGTATATCTGACAACATTAGTATATCATAAGTAAATCAATAGTACATCAGAACTCAATCAGTTCTATAATAGTAAATCACTATTTTACCTGCTTTAACCCCTTGTCTTGTATTTTTTTTTTTTATCAAAAGAACTTAGTAAGTATTGGCATGCATGGAAAATGATAAAAAAATTTGATACTTACTGAAAATGAGAAAGAAAACTTGAAAGGAACGTGCATGTAAACATCAAATGACGATTTTCGAAATTACTATGAATGAGAAATCAATTAGGAATTAGAGATAAATTGAAACTTGGGGTTTTTCTGATCAATAATATATCAGTGATATATCAAGTATACATCGTATACATATATCAATAGTACAATTAAGTTTTATTTAAAGTTTTAAAGATCAAAATGAAATCAGCAACAATGTCATTCTTAAAATGTTTAAATATCATTCTTGGGTATCAACATCAACATCAAATCAGTAGCAAAGTCCTTCAACAAAAAACTTAAAGGTTTAAACATCAAAACGAACCAATAGCATAAACCAAAAGTAGACTAACAATGTCATTCTTAAAAAGAAGCATAAGTTCTAGAAGCATAAGTTCCAACGGTCTAGAAAAGCGTAAGTTTCATTCTTATATAATCTTTAGGTAAAAGCTTGGGACATCAATCTTCGTTCTTGATGATTGTCGTGTCTTCGGAGATAATATCTTTGAAGCTTTTCGTTTTTCCATAGACAACACTTTTGGCGTTGGTTTATGTTGTCTTTTGGGACGAACGACATCAACATTTTCAACGATATTTTTTTTATTTCATTTTTCGTGTTTGTACCATTGCTTTTATCTGAAAAAAATTATTTCATATATTAGTAGTATATCAGAAAACATATATTAGAGGTAATATGTTCGAAATAATTGGTAGATATCATAGTTATATCAGAAGTAAATCAATTTCATATCATATGTACGTATATCAAACATATATCACATATATATCAAGAGTATATATGTTAATCATAGTTATATCAGAAGTAAATCAATAGTATATCAGAAGTCAATCAGTTCTATATCACCTATAGTAGTAGATATCATAGTTATGTCAGAAGTAAATCAATTTCATATCATATGTATATAAAACATATATCACATATATATCAGGAGTATATATCATAAGTAAATCAATAGTATATCAGTTCTATATTACCTATAGTAGTATATATCATAGTTATATCAGAAGTAAATCAATTTCATATCAGATATATATGAAACATATATCACATATATATCAGGAGTAGTATATCTGTCAATCATAGTTATATCATAAGTAAATCAATAGTATATCATAAGTCAATCAATTCTACGTCACCTATAATAGTAGATATCATAGTTATATCAGAAGTAAATCAATTTCATACCATATGTATATCAAACATATATCACATATATACCAGGAGTATATCTGTCAATCATTAGTATATCAGAAGTCAATCAGAATTAGTAATTTATTGTTAGTTCGGGCATGCAGGTTATATTTGTAATTTAGAACGTGGGCCTCCGTTTTTTTGCAAAAAAAATGCTATATTAAAAATACTCAAACATTGTTGCTATTTTGCTTATTTTCCTAATTTTTTTTTTGTCATATCTCAAGTTGCCCCATTGTAATAATTGTCACCCATTTGGAATTTAATATATATCGGACAAATTATTTCATTATATATGTGACAGTGCTGGTAGAGATAGCTATACTTTGTATTGCAAAATATTCATTTTATTGATTTCATGATGATGGTACGTGGTTTGACGATTTTGATGCAAAATCTTATCCTGGGACAAGATTTGATCCCTGCTACTAAAAAGTCAAGTATTTTCCGGATCAACACAACATAGAAAAGTTCGACCTTTAGTAATGAATGACATTGAAGTAGTGACTCACAAGGCATAGAAAAGTCGTGCCTTTTTTAAGTTAATGAATGGCAATGGCATTGAAGTCATTGGTTCCAGTTTCGCTTTCCAAATTTAAAGCTAAACAGTGATGGATTCTATTAGCTTATACTAGTCTAGTCAAATGGTTTCTAGCATAAACTCAAATCAACTCTTTTAAATGCCAATTACCTAGTTTAACTTAAACTTTCCTTGCTTGCACTTCTAGTAACCCAAAATTTATATAATATGAAATTAGATTTGTGTTTTGATTATATACAAAAGATTGAAAATTATAGGAGCCTAAATTACAGAAGCCTACGTCATAATGATGTTAATATATAGACTATGCAACCATTTAACTGAGAAGTTTCTCAATTGTTAAAGGGAGAAACAGACGTTTGCTAACATATATGTCACATCTTGTCCCTTGAGTTGTTTACAAGTGGTGGAAAAAAAGCCATCTTTTACACCCTTCATATCTCAGTTTGAACTTTGAATAACTCTCCTAAGCAATCTTTAATTTGAAGGCTTTTGCAGGTCTGAGAAACCACAATATCCGATTTCCATTTCCCAACCTGAAAATTAAACCATGGCTGAAGGAGTTCTCTTCCATGTAGCTGGCGAGATCTTGATGAAGCTAGGCTCTATAGCTTCCCAACGGCTTGGAATGGTGCGGGGAGTGGAGAATGATCTTACCAAACTCACCAGCACTGTTTCGGTCATTAAGAACGTACTTCTTGATGCAGAGGAGCACTGTCAAACTAAAACTGATCACACTCTACAGGATTGGCTCCAAAAGCTGGAAGAAGCTCTTTACGACGCGGAGGATGTGCTTGATGAACTCTCCAGTGAGACTCTCCATCGAGAAGTCGTGACTAAAGGAAAAAATGCAAAGCAAGTAAGGATCTTCTTCTCCGGATCTAACCAGATTGCATTTAATTATAGGGTGGCTCGTAATATAAAGAAAATTTGGGAGAGGCTAGATGCTATTGATGCTGAAAGAAAACAATTTAATTTGACTGAAAACTGTCAACAAAGGACTCTATATGGTTCGTTTGATCAAATCATGATGGGAAGAAAAGAAACTTGCTCTTTTCCAAATGTAGAGGAAGTGATTGGAAGGGATTATGATAAGAAAAAATTAAAGGACCTTTTATTGGATATAAATATGAATGTCAGGCACAATGTTTCATTCATTGTAATAGCTGGAATGGGCGGGATAGGCAAGACGACTTTGGCTAAATCTCTCTACCATGATAGAGAGGTATCAGAATGTTTTGATTCAACAATATGGATTTGGATTTCTGATCAATTTGAGGTTAGAGTAGTAGTGGAAAAAATAATAGAATCGGCAACCAAAAGGAAACCTAATGTTGAAGGAATGGAAGCTTTAAACAGTGAGCTTCAAGAAGTGATTGGAGGAAAGAAGTACCTGTTAGTTATGGATGACGTATGGAAGGAAACTGAAGAGAAATGGCATGAGTTGAAACCTTTGTTAATGGGTGGTGCAAGTGGGAGTAAGATTTTGATCACAAAGCGTGATAGTAAAGTAGCTACAGAAATTGAAAGCATGACTTCTTTGTTCACTTTAAAAGGCTTACAAGAGAGTAATTCTTGGTCATTGTTTAGGAAAGTGGCATTTAAAGAAGCCAAAGATCCTGCAAATTCAAACTTGATAAAGTTGGGAAAGGAGATTTTAGCGAAATGTGGAGGTGTCCCTCTCGTAATAAGACACATAGGACGCTTGTTATACTCTAAGACTTCAGAAGAAGAGTGGATGTCCTTCAAGAATAACGAACTTTTGAAAGTCATTCAACAAACTGATAAAAACGATGGTTTGACACCTATATTAAACTTGAGCTATAACCATCTCCCACCAAATTTGAAGCAATGTTTTGCTTATCTATCCCTATTTCCCAAAGGGACGAGGTTAGAGATAAAAGATTTGATTAGACAATGGATGGCTCACGGTTTTATAGAATCATCAAATGGAACTGCTAATTCCATGGAAGAGGTAGGAAAGAGCTATTTCAAGGAATTATGCTGGAGGTTCTTTTTTGAAAATTCGAGTGACGAGTGTAACTTCGACGACGATGTTGATATGCATGATGTGATGCGTGAAGTTGCGATGAATGTAGCAGGAGAGAAATATGTACATGGAAATCTCAATTGTGATTTTGTTGTCAGCGAAAAAACTCGACATATTTTATTTGACAGTAAAATAAAATTATGGCAGGATGTTCTATTGAAATTACAGAAGGCAAAAGGATTAAGAACCTTCCTATTTTTATCATATTTTCCATTTAAAAATAGGCTTGAGGACAATATTGAAGCTGTTTTGGAGGAACTATGTTCCAGTTTTCCACGTTTGCGAGTACTGGGTCTCAATCACTCAAAAATTCATGTGGTGCCAAATTCTATAAAAAATTTGAGACATCTTCGATATCTAAATCTCTCAAGAAATTACATGGAATCACTCCCAACTTCTATTACTAAACTGCAAAATTTGCAAAGTCTAGATCTAAAGGATTGCTATAAGCTAAATGAACTGCCAAGGGACACCAGCAATCTTGTTAATCTTAGGCATCTTGTTTTACCTGATCATTTAGATACACCACTCCATATGCTAGAAGGGATGAGGAAGTTGAGTTGTCTACGGACACTAGGTTATTTTGTGTTGGATTGCAAAAGGTCCAATATGCAAAGTGAATTGAATGTGCCGAACTATTTTAATGGAAGGTTAAAAATCGTAGGATTGGAGCAGTTGAGGCGTACTCCATCCAAAGTCGGCTTAGTTAACCTGAAAGACATTCAAGGCTTGCGAGATTTGAAACTGGTATGGAAACTGAGCGGCCGAGATGATGATGAAGGCGAAGGTAAGGGTGATGAAAGAGTTATGGAAGGCCTACAACCACAATCAAATGTTGAATCCTTGCGCATTGAAGGGTACAGTGGAGTAGGATTACCCAATTGGGTCTCCACCTCGCTCTCCAACTTAACCAAAATTGCAATTTGTAATTGCCACAGAGTGCAACATCTACCTCAGTTGGCCCACCTTCAGACTCTCAAAGGTATATTTTTAGAGGACATGAGATCTCTCAAATTCGTAGACAAGAATGAGCCAGGCTTGTTGTGTTTTCCATCTCTCGTGAGTCTACGGTTGAAAAACATGGGTAATTTGGAAGGATGGTGGGAATCAAGAGTAGTAGGAGAAACTCTTCCCATTTTTCCTGAGCTTCAATACCTACGTATCCAGCACTGTCCCAAGTTAAGTCTCATGCCCAAGATAGCTTCCAGTACTCTAGACTCTTTTTTTTTATGTGATGTTGGTGTTCAAGTGGTGACTGCAATAGGTCCATTGTGGAATTTTGAGGTTGTAATACTCCAAGAAATTAAGGATCTCAAAGATCTAGAAATGGAATCTCATCAAAACCGAAACCAAGACCTGGGTTCTTCTTCTTTGTCAATGTCCTCGAGGTCGCCTACACGACTTCGATTTCTGACAATAGAGAAATGCTCCAATTTGATGAGTTTACCAGAATGGATTGGCACCATCACTTCGCTTTGGAAAGTGACCATTATAGACTGTCCGAAATTAAAATCATTACTGGAGGGAATGCGGCAACTCAAATCTTTGAAATACCTGACCATAAAGGGGTGCCCAGAGCTGGAAGAAAGATGCAAGGAAGGAGGAGAGGATTGGCCTAACATTGCGCACATCCCCATTCTATGTTTTTCAGGTATATTCTTCACAAATAACTAACAATTCTTATCATTCATATTTTATACCAATCTCTTATCCACGCTTGACACTTTAGCTACCGGTATATTATATTCTTCACACTCAATCCCCTTTCCTTCCTATCTCTATATTATATTCCCTCTATTAACTATATATATTTGGTAATTTAAATACCATTCTCTTTCATCTACTTTTGTTGGTAATTTAAAAAAAAAAGGATTAATATATGTTTTAGTCCATAATTTCCGAGTATAAAAAATTACCATTTTTCAATTTAGTGAATTGACATAAATTTAGAAGAAAAAGTTTATTTAAGAGAAAGAAAACTTTAATGAGGTGAACTCTTTTCTCCTATAAATTTTTTGTCAATTTACTAAAAAGTATTATATCATGTAAGTTATCATCAACCAAATTCTGTATCCACCAATGATGATGGATGAAATAGAAAAATGTTAAAAACATAAGGGAAACTTTCCAATTATAGAAACTAAATTATAAAAGACTAAAATATATATTTAGCCCAATCTTAATTTCATCGGTATGTTGTAGTTAAATGTTTTAAAAAAATTTCTCTACAACTACTAAATATATATTCACAATTTAATTTCCTGTATAACACATGTTTTTAGACTTAACGAATAGATGATAGTCTAGCGTTTAATGCGACGATAAAATTGAAAATTTTTAAGATATTGATGAAAGATTGAATTAAGATACGGTATTAAATTTATAGGAACGAAAAATGGTAATTTAACCTGTTTTGAATAATACTACCTACTTGTTTTATTAACAATATTGATATGCTTTAATTTTAATTGTGTGATGAAGAGGAAGGAGCAGTAGAGGCAGTAGAAACAGCAGAAATAGCAGAGAGTGGGATATGGAGGAAAATGAAAGATTTCATACCCAATATACGTTCCTCTTTGACTTGTGGGTATGAACATTCTCTCAACTATAAACCTACACTCTGATGTCTTGGATTTTGAATGGTTTTTTATTTTGAGTTTTGTTATATTTAAGATGCTTTCGAAGTCTAATTTACAAAAATGGCTCGAGTATCATGTTATTAATGTTGATAGTTTTTATTCATGAGAAACTTTTTTTTACTTCTCAGAGGACAAATTCTTTGAATGATAGATTATATCTCCTATTGTTCATGACTACTTAGGTAAGGTGGTGTTAGCTCATAAATCTTATATCCATATAATTGATATGATAGGAACTAAACATAATTGAAAACTCTAGAATTAAAATCAATATCTTAAGTATCAAAGGATCAATGTGAAAGCTAAGTAAAATAATTTGAAGGACGAGGGGCATACCTTGAAAGAGACCTAAATAGAAATTAGAAGAGATATATTAAAGTTGAGGGGTAATTATTTTAAACCTCTAAGATTGAGAAACCCAAATTAAAAATTAATTATGAAGCTGCATTTTTATGTTGAATTGAATCAGTCTTATTCCCTGGTTTGAGAAATTTCTTTATCAGGTGCTGACATATGCATGGAAGCAGTGGGAAAAGATTGTACATATTTATTCAGTATCCTTGAATTTCTGTTGTGAAAAAAGTGAATTCTACGTATGATTTATTTTACATGCAAATTTCATCAATCATCTATCCGATAGATTTCGAATTGGTGCCAAAAATTTATCCTTAAACAACATTTAGACAAATACCAGCTGGCTGGGGTGATGAATGCTGAATTTTTGCTGTTGGCACTTTGGATGATAGTCACTGAAGAGCAGCAACATGATTTCAACAAGTACGAAGATGTCCTTATTTTGGGACATAGGAACCTTAATTTCATCTATGATTGTTGTATGTTTATTGTTGTATAACATAACATGTAGTTTTCACCATGTCTATTTGTTATCTGAATGTATCCTCTTCATATTTTAAAGAATATTAATTCTGGAATCATCATATTACTACGTATATATTACAGGGGAGTATTACATGTCTAGAGATTGGGAATCTAACTCTGTTCTTCTTCTTTGGGTATCCCTCACATGTCCTTGCCTATTAAATGCTTCAATTTGATGAGTTTATCTGAATAGATTGGCACCCTCACTTCGTTTAAGGAGCTGGTGATTATTGAATGTCCGAAATTAAATTCAGTACCAGAGGGAATGCAGCAACTCAAATCTTTGAAATACCTTCACATAAAGGGGTGCCTAGAACTCCAAAAAAGATGCAAGCAGGGAGGAGAGGATTAGCTTAAGATTGCACACATCCACCATACATACTAACACGGCACAGACTTGTACAGGTATTCCTCACACAATCCCTTCCCTTCATTTCTTTGTTATATATGTTAATGTTGTGTGAAATCTGAATTTGTTGCTAATTTCTACTATTTTGTTTGTTTGATGTGTGATTCCTCCAAGCTTGGGAAGAGTACACCTATTCCATCTGGAAAAGGATCCATAAAAAAGCAACGGAATTTTAGGGTTATGTCAGGAAGCTCCATGGAAACAGCAGCTAATGTTGTTCCCAGTTTGAACTATGTGCAGAACGGCAAACATGTAATGGAGCCACAACTATGAAGATGTGATAGAACTACAACCGGTGTTTCCACAAGGTGGTTAGTGTAGCAAGTGATCTATCCAGAAGTGTTGGATAGAATCGGGCTCCCATTCCCAACCGAAAGTATATGAGTTGCATGACTATTCGAGTCAAGATACAAGTGGCACTTTGTTCGAGAGGAGGATTGTTAGGATTGCAAGATATGCGGACAAAGTCTCACATTGGCTAGAGATGGGGTGATCCATTATAAGAGAAGACAATTATCTCTATTGGTGTGAAGCCCTTTGGGTGAAATCAAAAATAAAACCGTAAGGGTTATGCCTAAAGCGGACAATATCATACAATTGTGGAGATACTTGGGGTATGAGAGATACAGTTGTCCTCGACAAATAGCACATGAATTCTCATAAGGAACCTTTTTCGAAGAACTGGACAGTTTTGTTAGAATAAAACTTGCAGAAGCCAAAATGTTCCTAGCACTGCTGATTATGCTAGAAGGGAAGCAGAAGATTTGAAGCCAACTTCAATTATTTTTCCCTTTTCTAATCTTTTAAATGTATGATTGTTATTTGATTGAGCCCTGAATGGACATGGATGGTAACAAGCAAAGCTGCTATGATATAATTGCAGAAGAAAGTGAAATTTGAACAATCACTATGAATATACTCTTCTTTTATATTAATCTTTAAACTCTGTTTCAGGCATCAAAGGTTACCATCACCAGCTGAACTGCTACATGGTAAAGGGTTAACTCTAGAATGCTTAGACATGATCTTATGATTTATGTTATTGTTGCCTCTGCTTTTCTAAGCAACAAAATTACATTGTTAATAGAAAAGTTGTAAAATATGACTACTAATCACCAAGTAAAAAGCCACACATGTACATAATCTGACATATACTCTTCTTGAGGTCATAAGTTTAAATCTCTTGTATCCTATCTTTATTGTACTTAAAAAAATACTCAAATACCTATTTTAGCCTCAATATTTTTAGCTTTAATTCATTTTGGACCTTGTACTCCTGAAACGTCCGTTTTGGTCCCTATCCTTCCTAATTTTGTTCAATTTAGTCTCTACCCTTTCAAAAAGTGCATTTTGATCGGTGTATTTTTAAAAGTCACTATTTTGGTCTCTTCATTTTCATTTTTACCTTATTTCTTTCGATCATAATTTTGGCACGATACTTCACTCACTAAATTTCTTAAAATATATTCATATATTTGTATTAAAGAATTTCAATAAGTATAAAATTTGTGTTAAATTTTTTACAGATAAGGACTAAATTAGTCACTTTTTTGAAGTGGAGAGACCAAAAGTATAGGAGGTTTTTAGTTTGCCCTTTCAATTACTTTCAAGATTTTGATAGGATTCTGCCCCTTGCCCCTTCTCGTTTGTATAACTTTTTGGTGACAGTTGAAAGACATCACTTCCATTAATAGCAAACAGTCGATAATCTTTACTACTACTAATATTTCTCAGATTTCCTAAGCAATTTTTCATCAGCTCCATCCCCTCTCCTTCAAAAGGCACTGTTTTTTTTTTTTTACCAAGGATTTTCTAGTCATATTGAGCTGTTCTCAACTGCAATCCTTCATGTAGTAGGTCATTTTTAAGAACAAAAGAGCAAGCTGATTGAATTTGAAAAAGACGAGGCTGACATAAATCATAATATCATCTCCAAGCATTCTACTTTCTAGAGTGGACCGTTTACCATGTAGCAGTTCAAATGGTGATTAGCATCAAAATGGCAGCTCAGCTTTTGATGCCTGAAACATAGCTGAAAGTTTTAACATAAAAACTAGAGTGTATTCACAGTGATTGTTCAAATCTCATTTGCTTTTTTACCATCCATATCCATTCAGGGGTCAATCAAATAACAATCGTACATTCAAAAGATCAAAAAAGGGAAAAATAATTGAAGTTGGTTTTGTTTAACCACAACAGGGTACCTCCTCTTCATTCCATAAAGAGAAAATGACTTGCACTTCAAGTTGGTTTTGTTGCAATAATTGAAATTGCATGGTGGGGAAAGTCTGTACACAATTGAATTATATATATATATATCCCCTTACCTGTGCCTATTGTCATCAGCATGAATAAATTTGTCACCGAATTTCTAAAAGTCAATAATGAAGTTAAAGATCTAACCTTAACATCCTAATGAAACCACTCTGATATCCTTGGATAACTCATGTTAAGCTCATAATTTTTTTCATTTTTCTAATATCATGGTGTCCAGCCAATATGCATGTACCAACTAATCTTACAGATACATGGCTACCACCAACTAATCTTACAGATACATGGCTACCATGATTTGAACTGATTCCTCCCTCCAGGAGTTTTACAATTTTTATCTATCCTTATTTCAATTTTTATCTATCCTTATTGACCACTAAGCCAACCTATGACGCTCATAATTTGTAAAAAAATAAGATGATAAGAACAATATAATAAAAATTTCAGACCTCTCTATCCTTGTTGCAAGATGGCTTTGCAGCAAAATGTCATAGCTTTGAGGTCGAGCGCTCGGGTGTATATCACCTGTTACAAGATGATACATCTCTGCTTCAAATAAGAAAAGAGATGTACATGAGAAGTGTGGTGTAAGTAATATAAGGGCACAGAACATAACAGAAACATGAATACTACCCTCATGCATATTGAAATGCCTCAACTAATTGAAAATTCTACCACATATTGCAAGTTTTCGCCTGATACAGGAGGGTAGTCCATCTCGGGAGGAGATAAAATCGACCACCTTGACATCAATAGAAGTCTCCAAAGTTCATGTTCATATTTGGACGGTCAGCTCCAGAACAATGCTTGAAAGAAAATTAAGGTTACAAGTGATGAAAACCCGATTAAAAATTCTCTCGGATTGCTTTTTCATAGATGGAAGTGTTTATACACGAACAAATGCTGTTGAAGTCGCTGTACAGACTTTAGTTAGCAGCACAAAAATAAAGGGAGGAAAAAAGAACTTGGAAGGTAAAAGTAAAACCTAAAAGAACTACTACGACAGACTGAAAATATATAAGCCTATAAATGTTAAGTACTTCCCAACTACCGAGACTAGAAGAGATAACAATGCTGAAAAAATCCCAGTTGAAACTACAACTCAGTACTCATCACACTGGCAGGTTCCGTTTTGTAGCTTCCATTTTCAAAAGAAGATCTTTAATGTCTGCCTCCATCCTTACTTTCAAGCTAGAGTATTCACGATGAGCTCTTTCTAGAGCCTGGAGTTCCTCAATTTTCTGTTTGCGCATATCCTCGGCCTCAGTCAAACGCAACTTGGTAATTCTACTTGTGTACTCTTCATCTATTTTTTTGTTCTTTGCAATAGCAATGCGCTTTAAACCTTCTGCTTCCCTTCTAGCATCATCCGCTCGTGCTTGGAACATTTTGGCTTCTGCAAGTTTTATTCGAACAATACTATCCAATTCTTCGAAAAGAGGTTCCTTACGAGAATTTATGTGCATATCTGGCTCCATTATCCGTTTGTCATTCCGCTCGTAATTCAAACTAGGGTGAGCATTAGCTGCTCTTTCCATTTGAGGGACTTTTTCAGAATATACGGATTTCAGCCAGGGAGCTTCCTGACATGACCCTGAAATTCCGTTGCTGTTTTTTGATGGATCCTTTCCGGATGGAACTGGTGTCTTGCCAAGCTTGGAAGAATCAGCATCTGTAATCACACATCAAACAACAAAATGGTAGCAATTAGCAACATTCCGATTCACACCAAATTAAATATGCAAAATTCCCAAATTGCCCCTAAATACTACTATAACAGGCAAAGATAGTTCCAAATTTCCAATACTAAGCCACGACAATAGAGAAGTTGTTTTAGGCACTAATAATTCATCTCAAGAAATAATAGCTAATTAAACTCGTCAACTCTCACAGAACATTCCTGCAAAAGAGCAGTCCCACAATGAAAATCCAAAAGCCAGACTGCTAAATAAAAAGCTGAATACACAGAAGTCATAGAACAGTCAAATCGAAAGGAGACGTGGCATGCATTTCCATAATGGTATGTCCCAATATTTCTCTCACAATAAAAACCATTTTGATTTGCTAAGAGACCTATCATCTCCAAGAAATTCTGGCAAACAAAATAAAGGAGGGATTTGACAATTGCAAGAAGTGGTCTCACAAAATTCCTTGTGGAACAATGGCAAGAAAAGTTGAGGAATATTAGACTTATTGGCATAACATGAAAAACGTGAATTTAGCTCACCAGAAATGAAAGCCATAATACGAGAGTACACCTCAGGAAGATTAGACTTATTGGCTAATCTTTCCAGCATATGGTCAGCAAGTTCGTGAAGTTGTTTCCCTCTCAAGTCCTGGCTGGCAGAAAAAATTCTCTTAACATATTCAAGTTCCCTGGAGAGAGTTTCAGCCGTCCAATCTTTAGCAAAATTTTGAAAAACTTCCTTCACAAAGCCAAACATCTCTGAAGGGTGATCACAGGCAACACAATGAAACTGCATTTCAGTTGCTCCTTGGTCTCCAGTCGCACTAGGACCATTTCTAATATAAGATTCACGTAAGGCACAGTCCACATGGCACCAGTGAAGACAAACATCACAGCCAACCCAACTACATGTATTA